CCTACTTACAAACGGGGTGAGGCAACCCCGCACTAGCTGCTTCCCCCCAGCAGACCAGGGAGACGCGAAGCTAGCATCCCCTTCCCCCAGCAGACTAGGGAGACGCAGAGCGGCTTTTCTCAGCAGACACCTCAGCTTGAGAATAAAGGACTGAGGGAAGTGAGGTGTGGGAGAATAAAACTGAGCTCTGGAGAAATGTTTGGCTAGAGTTTCCCCTACAATATGTACCAGTTCCAACTTACATACAAATTCAACTTAAGAACAAACCTACAGGCCCTATCTTGTACGTAACCCGGGGACTGCCTGTATGTGTCTATCCATCTGCCAGCTCATTAGAAAGGGAAGCCCCAGCAGAAAAATACTGGGAATAACCACCGATGTAAATACTTAACTTTTTGGTTCCTCTTCTGACTCTCCTCACATGCTTTTTTTTTAATCACTGATCAGAATGAGTTGTTTGTGGCTCTAAGTTCCTTTTGAGTAGATTACACTTTTCTAAGAAGTGACCTCTAAAAAGTGGAGGAGGGGGACGAATTGTGTCTGTGCTATTCTTTGCTCTTTTATAGTTAGGCCCCTACCAAATTCCTGGTTTGTTTTGGTTAGTTTAATGATTGTAGGATTTTTAAAATAATAAATTTTATGCTTTTGAGCAATCTAAATCTGGTATTTTATGATGTAATTATAGGGGTCCTGGTCCAAAAAAAGAATTGGGGCAGGGAAGGGCAAAAGGTTACTATAGGGGCGGTTGAGGTACTGCTACCCTTACTTCTGCACTGCGTTCAGAGCAGGACAGCTAGAAAGTGCTGGCTGGGAGACCAGCTCTGAAGGTAGAGACACTGCCAGCAGCCATGCAGAAGTAAGATGGTATGGTAGTATTGCCATCCTTACTTTGTGCTGCTGCCTCTAGACCCAGGCCCTCTGTCACCAGTTGTGGGCCTCTGGCTGCCCTGCTCTTAAGGCATCAGCACAGAAATAAGGGTAGCATGGTCTGAAGTTGCCATCCTTCTGTGTTGCTGTTGGGGGGCGGCGCTGCCATCAGAACTCGGTGCCTGACCAATAGTGGCCTGCTCCTGGCTGCCCAGCTTGGAAGGCAGTACATTATTAACAGTGGCAATACTGTGACCCTCCTAAAAAAAACCTTGCGCTCCCCCTGCAACTCTCTGTTGGGTCAAGACCCCCAATTTGAGAAATGCTGATCTCCTCTGTGAAATTCATAGTGTAAGGTAAAAATACATAAAACTCCAGATGTCATGGGGGAGATTGTATTTCATGGTCCCTTATGCACAGCCATAAAAAATGTATGTCCCAGTCACGTCGCCTTGAAAATTACCAGAAGCTGGCATAGTTTAGGAAAGCCTGAAGCTGCTGTGAACTGTCACGTGGATTGAGGAGAGTGAAGGTGGTATATAGCTAGACTTGGAACAGAAGGATTAGGGTTTTCTCAGTTGGTTTCACTGTGCCCACCCCCAAACCAAAGAAAAATATTTCCACCAATAATAACTGGCATTTATAGGTAGACAAAGTAAGAAAAATGCTGCTTGAGAACTTAATATCCTTAAATCATATTTCCTTGGTATATTGTGAGGGGTGATGTTTTGACAATTTGTGTATTAGCTTTAACTTTTTGGATCTGTCCACCTCCCATCATTAGTTGTTGTCCGACCGCCATAATTTTTCACAGCTATGAACATTTGACTCTAAAAAGGTTCTTAATAAATAAGTACTGATATTTTCTGTCAAAATAATAAGAAAATAACTGAAATTCTGCCAAGCCTCTATGTAGCCCTTTTCTCTCAGCCTCACTGAGCAGAGCTCTGGTGCAGTTCAGGCTCTAGTTCATCAGGTGCATTTTTCTGAAGAAATTGCAGTTACAGATGAGAGAAAATGTCCAAATACCTGCCCTGATTTTCTTTCCCTGCCATCTTCCTGCAAGCTATTTCTGTTTGATGCACTTCACTTCGTGCATACAGTGAATGTTCCACCCAAGACAAGCTTGATCTGGGAAAAGCAATATTTGGAAAGTACTGTACTGTGATCAGACACTGGTGCTTCGATAGTCAGAATATGTATATACTGCAGTTAAACACCCATGGCTGGTCTCTGTAAGCTGGCTTGGGGTAGTTTATAGATGGGGTAGTTTAATTGCAGTGTTAGATATGCAGGCTGAAGCTTGGACTGTGAGATCCTTCCATCTTGTAAGATTGCAATGCCAGGGCTCCTGCATGAGCCTGAACATCTACACTGCAGATAAACAGCACCTTAGCCCTGTGAGGCTGAAGTAGTTGGCGCAGGCCAACCACAGGTAAACTGGCTTGTAAAATATTCCTTACTTATAAACGAATCTGGACAATTTTGAAGCCTGTGAACTCCCTTTTCTGGCTGCCCCAGCAGAATCCAACTTTTTTCCTTCCTCTAGTCCTATGGTGTCCAACCAGTTTCTGAAGCAGTAGCTACTATAGTCAAGTAGCCACACTCAACGAGCCAAATAGCCACATATGGCGTGTTGGATAACACGGCTGTAGTCTGTTCATTACCACTTTAGCAGTTGCAGTGCTTACAGCTCTTGGAGAGTATTCACAGCCATGGCACCATCAGGAGTACTGAGATTTTGGAGAGTTGACCTGAGAAATCCCAAGAGTTTGAGCCTAAGTCTCTAGCCAGAGCTTGTTTGTAGGCATGTATTGGATGCGTCTTATCTCCTAGGCAGTGTCTCTGATACTCTTGCCCATTGGCTTGTTTTCTTTCATAGTTAATGAATTTACTCATATATTCCAGAGAGTAATTTGTTCTTACAAAACACAGAACTCAACACGATGCATTTTCGATCTGCATTCTGCACCCAAAGAGCCTTTTTTTCCCCCCAGCTTTTCTTCATTACTTATAAACCCAGCCACTGTAAGGAAAAATCAGCTGCTATCATTGTGCATAATTTGAGGACCAGAACTTCTTTGAAAAGCAGAGCCATTGTTTTAATAAAAAACATGAAAAATTACATAGTTTAAAGAATGTATCTGCTAACTAAGTAACAGAGATCAGTTTTTCATCTTTATTACAATAATATCTTTCTTTATCCAAGGTGCCAAAAAAGACAAGATTTTTTTTTGAGGGAGTTGGTGGTGGTGGGTTGGCTATCTTTATGGTCCCATTCCATGGTTGGTTCAGAATGGTAGACAGCTGGAGCAATTCAGAGTTTTCTGTCTGTAGTTATGAGGGATGTATGCTGGTTAATGAGAGCTCTAGCTCAAAGCAGAGATTCTGTAGTGGATCAGACAATTTTATTGGTCTGCCAAGCCAGATTATCCTTTTATGTTACCAAAAAAATCTTTTTGATTGTCACTGTTGTAACATTAGTCAAGGGTCTGTCAATATTTCCATTATAAACCCCCTATTTTCAGGGGTTTATGAGTGGTCTGGTTTTTAAAAAAAAAAACTTGCCCTGGTTTGAAACTTGGCACATGAAAGTTCAGCAGCAGATATTTTCTTTAACAAATTTAAAATAGTCAGCTGTTTCTTAAGATGTTGGGAGCACAAATTTTTTTTCTTTGGTTAAGCAGATAGGAATATTTTTCCAACCCACTTATTCCAATTAGATTTATAAAAACAAAACCCTACTCCCTTTTAGAGGGGGGAGGGGGAAGGCATGTTCCATTTGCCACAAGAGTTTGCCTCAAAACTTTCCCTTTCTTCACTTTGGTTTATGATTAACTAAATCCCACCCATCTTTTCTCTCCTTTTCTCCTCCCCTATGCATATTTCCCTTCCGCAGATTCACATTATTGCTACTTTAAATTATAGCTTTCATTCCTTTACTCCAGTCGATCCATATAACATCACTTTGCCTCTCGGTCTGAGGTTTGTAGCACCCAATTCTGATGAATCTGTCTTTGCCTCTTTCTAAAGGAACACTTTATTTGACAAGATATCTATGGTAAATATGCCCTGAACAGACTTATTCAGGAATTGCTCTACTGCATTAAATGTTGCTTTAAGCAATTGCTTGATGTACCCAACTTTTCAGGTCCTGACTATAAGGAGGATGGACTGCTAATTTAGATTTATGGGTTTTTGCTGAGACTTCATGCTGCATGAACGTGGGCTTTAACCTAAGGTAATTTCACATTCTTTGATTAACCCACTGTTGTTACAAAGTGAAAAAGTGAAGTGCCATTGGCTCAGAACCCAGTGTGGGTTTTTAAGCCTGTTTTTTAGTCATTTCCTGAGAGTTCAGTGCAGAAATGTGTAAGCCCAGGAAGTGACAACTGACTTCACAGAGCTGAATTCATCTTAAGAAGCCAAGCAGTTTGCTGGGTGAGGGTTACTATATGCCGAAGACTCTACTGAGGTGCAGAACTATGGAGTAATAAATGACCTTGTGATATATTCTAAATCTAAAGGATGCTCGATTGATTCCAGCTCATCAGGAAGAACTGCCGTCATTTGTACCCACGCTGCTGAAGAAAGCATCTCAAGCTGTAAAATGCCTCTGAGTACGCCTGACGAGTGTGAAGTGTGGCTGTACAATTGGTAAAACACAAGGAAGTGCAAATTAAAGAAACTGAAAGTTGAGTGGTGGAAAATGAGCGTGTTTAAAAAGCAGCACCATCCCACTGCTGCAGCCTTTAGAAGATCGTTGTCGGAGCAAGGGAGTGCATCTACAAAAGTTGCAGCTAGTTTGAAGGACTATCAATGGTACTACCAAGTCAAAAATAAGAGGACACAGGAACAAATGACTTCGGACCGAGGGAAGTCACTTGGTGCATACAGGTGGCAGACACATCCCAAGTTTCACTGGAAGGGGAGCAAGAAAGAGTTGTCTCGTAGTCTTAAGTGGAAACATAATCAGCTAAATCCTATAGACTGCCCTTTGAAGGTGGACAGTAGTGGTGCTGAGGATCTCCAGGAAGACCCAACAAGAAAGATGAGCCAGGCAGAGAGTACACCATTCCGAGTTCCATTCAGCAGGTCTATGTCTGAGCCCGCACCACACTGGAGAAACAGAAGCGTAAAGTCATTTCTGCAACCAGTGCACTCAGTAGATGGTGAGCAACAGGGTTATTTCAGCCAGGGCATTTTTTCTACACTTTCAAGTGGCTTTTCTAAGATGTTGACCCGAAAAGGAGAGCCCAGCACTGAGCCAGTGAATGACGGGGGGATGGACAGTAATCAGACTGCTTTGAATACAGGTAACAGTGAATTGTTTTGTTGTCCTTGTAGCCTGGTTATCAGATGAGCATAGTGACTTGCTCCTTGGAGAGAGTTTCAGTTGTTTAAACCTATTTGTAACTTCTTAGTGGTTTTACTGGTGACTAATAATGTGGGGACGCTGATAGCATCTGTGTTAAATTGAGTGCTCCATGGTGTGCCATTTAAATAGGACAGTTTATGCTACTGTGGCCTCCTGAATTGTATTTCCTTTCCTCTATTGTTGTTCCTGCCTTAATCCACGACATATAATTCTTTCAGTGGAAGTAGAGTGGTGTTCAGGACTGACCAAACAATTGTGTACCCACTTACAAATTGGAAAGACTTTTAAAAATGTCTGGTGGCTTTAGGAACTAGTAGCTGTCTGGAATGAATGAGGTATGTGGTATGCACTGGCTTGAGGGCAAACACCAAGGATTTGTAGTACCATCGTATGTAAAACCTGCTATTGTGAACAAAGTAAACCTGTGTGTAAACGGTATTCCACTAGTGAAACTGATTTCATCATGCAGGATTCACAGTTCGTAACCAGTCAGCTAATTTGATGTATGCCCAGTGTATTAGAAGCCAAGAACAAAAAGGTTTATAAAGATTTACCTAGCTGGGATTTCAGTCAGCAAGCTTCTTGATGCCTGTCTGAGATTTCATTTAAATCTACTCCGCAGATGAACATGCTGTTAAAGCGAAAGAGAAAATGGAGAGAATTGCCTCCTGTTGTCATTTTGCATTCGACTTCCTAGTGGGTTGGGTGATCTGATGCAGCTATGAAAAATGGTTTAAATTCTTACTTTTATAAATTCGTACTGTTTTCAAAATCCTCTAGATTATAGTGTTAAAATGCTGATGATAACATATGGATCCAGCTTGGGTCATTGGACAAGCTCTCCATATTCTGAAAATCTGCTTTGTTATTAAAAAGTATTCTGCTCATGTAGGCATTTCTGATCTCTTAATCACAGTGGAGTGCTCTTTTGTATTTCCCACATTACATTTCTTTTATTGGAGTTAGTCACATCCCTTTAAAACAAGAGAGAGAAATAAGCAATTTATTGGGGACTGTACCCCCAATTGGATGCAAGGTTGGATTCTGTTTGACAAGTTTTTTTTTTCTGGTTAATGTCATTGGATTCCCAAAATGAATCTCTTTGAGGAGATGCTACTAGTCTAGAACGCGGGTTGCTGATCCTTGTTTACGTTGCTATACGTAGCTCCAGTGCCTCGCTGTTTGCTAGGATTTTGGTGCCCTGAACAATCCCTCTTATTAGTAACCCTTCTTCTCTCCGTTCTACTTATCTTCTAATTCAGGGTAAGGCAAGAAGTCCAATTGCAGGTTACTATGATAATGGGGGTGGTGGAAACGGTGGGTTAGTGTGTTGAAGGAGCGCCGCAAAATGGGCCTGGTCCATTTATGGTGGACCTCTTCTGCACCACTGAACATACATCTTCAACTGGGTCAGAAAGGGGACTCTATTAGAAGTGCTGCCGCCCAGGCTGATGCCGGGCAGGTAAGTCCATACCCCTAAGGAGGCTCTCTGGGGTCCAGATTCTGACTTGGTGAGGTGTGGTGGCTCAAGATGAGATGCTTTTAGCAAACTCTTGAGCATTGTTACAAGACAGTAGCAGAGCCAATGGCACTGAAGTTTGGCTTGACCTGCAGAGCCTACCAAACTGATGTGGCACAAACCTGGAAACTGACAAGAGCAAAGAGCCTCAAGAGAGAGTCTTGAACTGTTCAGAGAAAGCAAGCTAAGACAGGCCCCTGCTGGGATGTTTGAAGATGCTAGTCCTGACTAGATCCTCATTACAGGTTGGCAGGCCTTCAGGTAAGATAGTCTCCTATATTTCTTCCAAAACTCCACACAGATTGAAGTCAGTCCAGTGGGCAAGCCACTGTGTGATCATCTGGTGCCTGGGCATTCCCAGAAGCTCTCAGAATTCTATGTATGGAGAACACAGTCCTGGATGTTGTCATGGGAGGAGCCCAGAGATTTGAAAGCCCACAAGTAGTCTAGAAAAAAGCAGTTTCCCATTGCACTGCGGGCATCATCAGAATCCTCAGACAAGCCACATTCTTCCTCTGCCCAAAGTGTTCTGCTGGTTTTTCCTGAGTGTCTGAGAGATGCTGCAGGGTCTGTGTCCTCTCCCTTGTCCAGGCACAGCAGTTTCCATTGCAGTGAGGACATGAGTACTCTCAATGCTGAAGATGTTTTTCCTCACAGATGCTTTTGACAGGCAGTTGAAGAGATGATTGCAGGATCCCTGGCCTTATGCTCTGAGGTGCTAACCATTCGGGTGCAGGTTTGTGAGTCCTTAGGGGATCACAATTAGTTGAAAAAGGGATTGGCCAACCTTTGCTTATATCCCAACTTCTTGGTATGATTTCACTGGCTGTTACCATCACTGCTACTGACTAATAACCAGTCAGTCTTATTAGGCTACAGAATACTGCTCTTCTTAAGATGGAGGACTTCAAGAGATGCATCGAAGACCTTCCAAAAAACCTCTTGCCTTTATTAAAAGGAGTATAAGACGACTCTGCTTGGTCATGTCACAATGACTTTTAACCGGAGGAGGCTGGAGACAGATGGCACAAGACAAATCACTTGATCATTGTCTTCGGTCCAGCCCCTCCAGGGCACCTGGCACTAGCCGCTGTCAGCAGACAGGCTACTGGGCTAGATGGATCTTTGGTCTGACCCAGTAGGGCCGTTCTTATGTTCTCAGGAGACCTACCTAAGACATTGACCAAATGCTGAGTGGAAGAGGCATATCAAAATGGGATTTTTCTGGGAAGAAATGTGCCAAATCATTCTAATTACAGCAGCTAGTCATCCCTTTCAGTGGTGGAAGGACTCGGGATTTCTGTGGAAGGATTCTTTTGGATCTAGCTAGTACCTGAGTGGGAGAGAGAATGCCTACAGGACTGCGCACAGAACAGCAGTGCCTGGGGTGGGGGAGACAGACTTGCTGAGCCCCCGAGCAAAGGAGGGCGTAGAGAGAACAACATCACAGGCTATTCCTCCTCCCCAACTACAACAGTGATTTAAAGGGCCGGGGCTCAGGCTGCTGCCGCAATGGTAGCAACAGTAGTGGCCAGGAGCCCTGGCCCCTTTTGAATCACTGGGCCTTGGGGCAGTTACTCTCTTTGTCTCCTCCCCCCCATCTCCGTCAGCTGGCCTGGCAGTGCCATGCATTGGCATACTGGGATAGACTACCACACAGATATTTGGGAGATAGATAAACAGACAAACCAGTTAGCTGATAACACAGAAACAATTAGATATCCTTCTCTACAATCTGCTGAACTGGTTAGAAGAAAGCATCCATGAGACAGCCTTACTCTCTGGCATGGCTGAAACACCATTAGCTCCCACAGTGGCTGAGTTTTAACTGTGTTTAGAGCCAAGCATAATCCTGATTGTGGCACATATAAAGCCTTAAGCTAAAGGAGATTAGACTCAATATTAGAAGCCATTAACTTTCCATTTGAATGTTATTTATAACCTGTACAATGTTGAGAAGAGTAAATCTATCAACTCAGGACAGAGAAAAAAATGATTTCAGTAAACGAACATTTGGACTGTAAATGCTCTTACAGAACAGGAGTCACAATTTCACCAGAAACAGAATAAGAATAGAAATGAGTAAGGCTGCATTAAACTCTTGTGTCTCCCTTCCATTTTTGGAAGTATCCATCCAAATCCCATTTTTAGCATTTTTTAAAGGTTGCTTAAGCAGGGGAAAGTTCTCAAAAAATATGCATTTGATCTAATGTACCTGGAGCTCTGTGGAGATGGGGTACAGGGTGGGAGAAGGGGCACCCTGACATCAGCACCCCCTCCTCTTATTCCTGTGCTCTCCATAGCAAGCAAGAAGCTCCCAGGGGCGGGGGGGGCAGCTCTAAGGCAGAAGGCAGGAGCAGCATAGTCTCTTGACCAAACCTGTCAGGATCACCTGCCAAAGGCTCCAAGATCCTCCAGTCGATCCGGATCTACTGGTTGGTGACCACTGCATTAGTTGTTCTGTCAGTTTCCAATCTCATTCAGTTTTGGGAAGCAGGGTCTGGTATTTAGTATGCATGAAAGCAGCTTTTTTTGGTGTTAACTTTTAAAGGCTGTTTCTGCGTTATACAGCTGTTTTTTTTTAATTAAAAAACTCACCGTCTCAGAGAAATTCAGAACTAGTTCTCTGGTTCCACACAAGACCCTTTTTCAATAAAGTGGTTTACTTATTGCAAGTTGAATAAAAACCAGTTTAGTCTGTATGCATTTAATTGCATTACTTAGGTTGTAATTTTTTGGGTAGGGATCCTGTCTTTTGATGAGTGCCTTGCACATTTATGGTGCTGTATAAATAACTGCATGTAATTCCTGTTGGGTGTTTCTACGGCTGGTTAGGGCATGCAGTCTTTTTACTTGTACTTTAGTTAATTAAAAATTTGAAGTGGCTTAAAGTGGTTTCAAGGATTTTTTTTATAAATAGCGTTCCTAGTGCTACATCCACATTTTTGTAAATTAGTTTTTAATTCAGTACACGTGGAAGTAATTCACAACAGCCACATTTAAACTAGTCTGTGAAATTCTAGTGTGGCTTAGAGGTGATAATCGGTGCTTTATGACAATGAATCCTAGAATACTACAAACTGGAAGGGACTTCAAGAAGTCAAGTCCATTCCCCTGTCCTGTTAAAAATTGCTCCGAATTAAGGCACTCTTGACATTTCTCCAGGGAAATATTGCAGGTTTTTGACAGCCTCAGGATATTGTATTTAAGAACTCCATATTTTTCTCAGACTTTCTTTTTTTACTGTTAATTAATTACTGGGTGATTGCAGTCATTATAATGCTAATGTGGATTGGAAGGGATAATAATGGGCAAACACACTCAGCAGAGAACTTCTGGATTTAAATCCTGTAAAGTAATTAATGTAAACAATTAAAGGTGTCAATAAAATTTATAGTTAAGTGGCATGAATCTGTCTG